GGGGTGTTGAGCCTGGAGAAGAGGAGGCTGAGGGGAGACCTTATCGCTCCCTACAACTGCCTGACAGGAGGGGGGAGCTGGGGGGGGTTGGGCTCTGCTCCCAGGGAACGGGTGATGGGACGAGGGGAAATGGCCTCAAGTTGTGCCAGGGCAGGTTTAGGTTGGACATTGAGAAAAATTTCTTCCCTGAAAGGGCTGTCAAGAACTGGAAGGGGCTGCCCAGGGAAGGGGTCGAGTCCCCATTAGCACTGAATTTCACAGCACTTTCTGATCAGCTCTTTGGCATCCATCACACATTTCTCTAATTTTCCAGCTTTAACATCGTGACAGGAGGCACGAATAGCTGAGACAGCAGGGTTGCAGTTGCAGAAGACGATCTCACACAGCTAGAAGGACTTGGAGCAGAGTTTTGACTCGGTCCAATGATGCAGATTAAAGAAAACATTGCCTTCAAGTACACTGAAAGCAGCTACTCTACCACTAGTCTGCAAATTATTCAAAGGATAAAGAAAATTACAGTTATATACAGGTGTAAGAGCAGTGCATTTGCTGCTGAGGAGGCTGAGTAGTTCTTACTCCTGGGGAACACGGTCTAAGATCAGGAGACCAAAACACCCTCTCTTCTACTGTCCCCTTGCTGATCTCCTCAAAAACGGAGCAGGTATGCGAATGCGTGGATGGCCACCGGATGGCAATTCCAGTCCTTCAGATGTGAAGGACCAGAGGTTTTTAAGCATGAACCACGACAGGGCAAATAAAACTGGAGTGTGTTGTAGAGTAACGGCTTCAACACTCAGCTATTTTGGGTGTGTGGGGGGGGCCACGGGAGGAAGAAAGAATCCTATTGAAAAAGCCATGTAAGATTAAGGTAGCAATAAAGGTAACGCCATTCAGATCTGCCATACAGCTACTGAGAGGTTTCAGGTTATTGGGAGGTGTCACTGCAGGCACTGTTTTGAGAGAAAAAAGCATCCTTTGGACTAACACAGCTGGGTTTTTTCCTGTATTATTACTTCCTTATGCCTTTCAACGCTGTAACTTTGTGGGGTTATCTTTGAAAGCAAATTAGAACCATTACTGAGTCTGTAAAACACCTTGTCCGTGTACGCAGAGCATTTTCTATTGTCAGATCTGCTTAAGAAGTGAGCTACTCGCCAAGCACCGGTCCTCCTTCATGATGTGGATTCATACCAAGGACATCCTGAGCTCCTCCGCTTCAGCTGTGTGTTTATTTATTTTAGGGAATATCTTCTGACATTTGCCAACAGGCTTGAAAAGAAGTCCCTCCTGCAAAGCCCTAATTATTTTTCACCTACTATACATCATATAAGGAGAACACTAGAGATATAAAAGCTGTGGCACTTGAATACAATCAGAATTAATGCACCATAGAATCATAGAATCATTTAGGTGGGAAAAGCCCTTTAAGATCCCCAAGCCCAACCATTCCCCTAACCCTGCCATCCCACCACTAAACCCTGGCCCTAAGCACCACGTCTGCCCAGCTTTTAAATACCCCCAGTGATGGGGACTCAACCCCTGCCCTGGGCACCTCCTTCCAGTGCCTGCAGCCCTTTCAGTGAAAAAAATTTTCCTAACATCTAACCAAGTCCACCCTGGTCTTCTGTAACCTGAACAACTCCTGTCATTTTGCCAGACAACATCAGCTGGAAAAACAGGTGTTTGCTGCCAACATCAAAGTAGTGTTACAACTTTAACTTCAGATTTTAGGGTTTGGATCTATGATTAAAGAGGATACAGATAAGAAAAGAGCACACCAGATGAAGACGTCAAATTTGAAAACCCCAAGAGACTAATGAAAGTCTTAGTTTACGGGTAAGAAAAGTTAAGGCAAAACCACAAACTACCGGGCTATGATTTTATAAATTCGGCAGAGCTATGAGTTAGGAGTTTCCCCATTCCTTAGACTCCTACTTCAAACCACCGTTGCCCACAGTGCCTTCATGCCCTGACGCAGTCTTCAGAAGATTTTTTATCTGGACCACTCGCTGGTCCAGGAATAAGAAACATGGAAGCTGTCACTGCATGCACTCGGGGAGGGCTACATCGACCGCAGGGCAGAAAATAACCTGGTAACTGGTACTGAGGCTTGTAATACCATAGAACTGCTTCTACAAGTTCTGAAGCTCACTACTGTTGGGGCTTGGGTTTTTTAAAGCAACACCTGCAATACTTTGGTGAGCCAGTCTGAATAATTTGTACTATCCGATGACATAAAAGGAGAAAATCACGCTGAAGGTGCTGTGGCGATATACCCTCAGCCACCCAACTTAGCTAGGTGAAAGACTGACCTTCACTGAATTGGATCCAGTCCTGCCCCTTGCATCCGCAGTCCTCTCAGCGTCGTAGCAGACCGAGTTGTGCTGTTCTCCCCCAAGGGAATCTTAATCATTGAAACACCCCCTTTGGAAATTGCCTCTTGACTCCAAAAACACGGAGCAGTGGGCTGCACAGTGCCACACTCCGAACCAAACACTTGGACAAGAGCCCCTCCAGAGAGAGGTACGGGTCTGACAGACCGATGGAGTCCTGAGCAGAAAGGCTCAAGCCAGGGAGAGGGAAGAGGTAGCAACCCACAGGCATTCACCGGGACCTGGCAGCCAACTTCAAAAGAGGGACAGGCCTCCCACTGGTATAAAAC